GGCTACAGATGTAACAGGGTGATAGTTTTGGGTCACTGCTGCTGCTGCTGCTGCTGCTGCTGCTGCTGCTTAGCTGTTTCACATAAATGGCTACTATTGATCAAGCAGACTTTACTGGCTGAGTTATTGATTAGGCAGAGGAGACTGACGTGTTAGAGGTTGGGATAGGGATAAGTCACCGTGTGTTTGAGTAAGATAAAGACAAAGGAAATGAGGGGGAAATTTCATTTACAAAAAAAATGTTAAGTCAAGACAGTAGGGGAAAAAAACAGAAGAACTATTGCTTCTTTAAGATACGTTCATTTTCACATTGACATATTCTTTTAAAATGCTGATGACTGTTTCCTGAAACCTCATTTACAGGAAGGCAAGGCCATACTGTGATGCTGTTTGATGTTAATTCAAATACTGCTTTTGATCACTCAAACCATGTTTGTGATACTTATTAGACTTCAGTCTTTGTCCGGTTCAAAAAGATCAGTATTTATTAAGCCAAAATACATGACAGCTTTTCAGAGTCTTCATCTATACAGATACGCCCTTTAGTTCAATTTATCTCCTGACACACAGAAACACGCTTACAGAAATAGGACTGCGACCAAGGCTGTCCTGCACCAAACATCTAATAGGCTGTACTGGTGAAATCAGGACCAGAGCGAGGGAATTTTCATGGTCCTAATCAGCCTTTTCTCAGAATGCTGATGAACAGAAGTCGTGCCTCTTGGCTTTTCTGAGATCTTTGTAGTCTTTTTCAAGATTGATTGGATGCAATGTCATTTCAGCGGCTTTTAGCTGCCCCCCAAAAAACAAAATTCAAGCTGAAGACAGACAAAAATAGACGTGTCTACCACATCGTACAACCCACTATTGTTTTTAATTTTATCTAAATTCATTATGGGAAAATAAAATGTACTATGTCAGTAATGATAAAATTATCTTAAAGCATTAAACACTATATCTTGTGATTTTCACATCTTGTAATGTGTAAACTTATAGCTAAGTTTCCTTTTTGACTTCAGGCCTAATGCGAGCTGGCTCAGTGGACAGGTATCTTACTTTTAGTTGTTTTTTTTTTTAATATAATTTCACCAACATCAGGCTAAATTTACCAAAAATAGATATTGAAAATAGTTTTAAGTAAGTTTTTTCTCAGCAGAAATATAGCCAGAAAAGGGAGTTTGTTAAGAGGATATTAAAGATTCAATTAACATGGCTTTATTTAAAAATATCAACAATTCAGTCAAACTTGAACTTAGTCAATGTTTTGCCCTAAACCAAAAACAAACGAAAGCCATTAATCCACATGTTAAATGTTATTTAAGTCTAAATCAGTGGTGAAGGACATACCAAAAATGACCAACACACAACATAATGAACTAAAGGTTAGCCACAAAGACAACTGAAGAAAGTCAAGATATTGTCATGTTAAGGTTAGAATAAAAAATGTGTCCATAAATAAGTAAAGATTTCATAAAACTTTGTGACCATCCACTCCCACCAAATGATTTTGACTCTCACAGGGTAAACATTGCCTTTAGCTCATTGACAATCATGGTATAAGCCAATGAACTCCATTTACTTCCCCATTATTTTATAATAAATCACTGATAAGAAGTCTATTTTCAGCTTGATAGCTCACGCTAATTTCTTTGATAATTAAACGCCAACTCAGTTTCCTTATTTTGGTTCAAGCTGTTGTGGCTCATGTATAGTATTTGAGAAGATAGATTAGTGAAATGAGCCCGACATGTTTGGATTTATTTGGGAATCAGTGTCTCCTTTGATCTGTGTATCTTCAGACCATTGACTAATTTTGTTTTTTAGCTTTCACTTTCACAAGATTCTCATTTGTGGAGTTACTGACCCACTTTGAAGCAGGGCTCTTTGACTTCTATGGTCTTCCTTTTCCCTTTCTTCCTTTTCCGATTCTCTCATCAGATTAAATTCTTAAAATCTGCTTGTATTTTTTTTTCTGGAGGAATTGGGCTTAGTCCAAAATTTAGTCCAGTAATTTGCAGGACTTTATTGATTGTCTTTGTTTACACTTAAATCAACTAAGGTTGAGAGTCATCACGCATGTTCTTACTAATTTTCTTTAGGTTTTCTACATCTAACTATTTTCTATTTTCTCTCTTTAAATTACTGTTAAAAAACTTGGTGCAAATCTCCAAACTTCAAACATTTTCATGAAATTTTTTTATGGGAATAGCATCTTTACATCCATCGCCTGCTTTGTGAGTAGTTCTTTTTCTGAAGTCTGAAATCAAAGCTTTGGCTGACAGCTCAGACTATAAACTAAGTTATTATAGTAGGAGTAGATCTGAAAAATAAACCTCAGTTTGAACCTCAGTTCAGTGGTCCAGAACATTAAAAGTGAACCCAAATCATTGGTGTGTGTGTAATGGCTTATCAGCAAACACTGACAAAATAGTATATGCATTCAGTGATACGTTTAGATACATTTTGTTGCTCTTACCGACTGAAGCTGTAATACTACTATTATTCATTATACAAAACTGTCTGTTTTCAGCACACAGCAGCTGTCTGCACAGCTTTACAGTCAATTATTTTCTTTTGTATTGTACACATTGCTGAAATTGATTTCTCACCTTCAATGCTTCTCCACAACTTGTTTTTTTCTCTATTCTACAAAAGTTGAATGACAGATTTTGAGAAACAGTACAATGCCTGTACATCCTACAGCAAACACATTTAAGGAAAAATATGTTTTACCATTTATTTGTTCAAAGAACATGTTTTCACTCCTATGTACAGTACAGTCTGCTAACGTTGTGACTGCCAATCAATTTTCAAAAGCATTTAGGGAAAAGACAAGAAAAGAAATATTAAAGCTATATTATGACTGTCCTTTATGACATCTAAGCTTGCCCTAAAGTGGACTTCATGAGTCTCCTGCAAAGCAATGAAAATACTGAGGATTGGAAAAGAACTGACAGAAGTCAATTATTTGTTGTTCAAGATGAAATTTACAGCACATTTGTTGATTTTGGCACATCGGCAAATGCAAGAAAAATCTTGTGTGCAGAGAGAAAAATGTTTGCCTCTTTTAAAGGCAAACAGCATCAATAACAATTCCTATTATTGTTATAAATTATTATTACTTGTCAAATTAGTTTGTACAAGATTAAATGATAATAACAGAAACTCAGGACTAATTTGATCAATTCCATAGATTCCTTAGATGTGTTTCATGACTCCTCTTGCATTGCATTAATAATAATACAATTAAACATTTATTGCAAGCTTTTAAAAGGCTCTTACAATGACACAGAAAAGTATAACCTTGAGTTTTTGTTGAAAATAAAGACTGTTACAAGAACTCTTAACGTGTTCTATAGGGTTTCCTAAAGTATTTCCCACTGATTGGAATCAAAAACATTAAATACATATTCATACAACTAGCAATCATTTTTTATATAAAAACAACTCTGTTGTGTTCCTGGGCCATAAGAGCTCTTAAAAAGAGCAAATAAAACATAATTGAACATTTTTTAGCTCATTTCTTTTGTGCCATGACCATATAAATCCATCACTCTGACAAGATAAAGGAGAAAAAAAGCACAAAACCTCATCCTTTAGGAAAAAAAATCCTCCCACTGTCCAATTACTGTGTGAGCTTACAGACATCCAATCGCAGGTGTGAGTGAGAGCCAGGAACGCTAACGCACAGAGGTCGTCTGGTCTCTATCTGGAATAGCTATGAACGTGCACTTTTTTATTGTTAAATAGACCACAATTGTTAGAGGGTGAACTCTGCTGCACCGACAGCTCTGTAGTTACTGTCCACTCACTAATCAAGGTGAATAAAGGAATGTTCTCTGATTAGCATACTGTCAATACACTCACAGGGGACTCACAAGGTGAAAAAAGCACCTGCAATATGGCACCATTTTTACCATGTAATGGTTGTTCTTTTTTTCTTTTATATAAGAAATACAAAAACATATCTTTTACTCGCCTGTTACATACTGTATAAAGTAAGACAAAATGTCAAGTGCAGAACTGTTGGTTCTTGCTATGACTAACATTGCTGGATGTCTGTTTCGTTGTACAACATTAATTAAACATGTACCTGTGAGCACAGGTTTTTCTAGGAACCAAAGAATGTGCATAATACCATCAAGGTCAGGCGACCCTTAAAATACATGACAGAATAAAAGTGCTTCTGCAGTAGTGGAGCTAGAGAGAGAAGACAGTAAACAGCATGTTATCCACAGAAACTGTGGCCCCGTCTCTGAGTGCTGGAATGATTAAATTCAGGGAGGATAAGGGAGAAGCAGTCTCCATGAGCCCACTGTGCATTGGTTTGGTTGTCAAACGTAGGATTCTTTGATTTCCTGATGGAATTACAACATGGAAAAACTGTTTTCTAATTCACTGACAGTGCAATGCACGGCATGTTTGACAGCAGACAGTAAAACATGGAAGATGCATAAAACATATATTCTTTGTGAAATTTGTTCAAAAAATGAATGAATTGGCAGAAAGGAGTGGAATAATAAGCCATTTTATCAGTTCAATGTTAGCACCACAATATTTTCTCATGCAAATTTACATTTTTTCATAAATAAAGTAAATGTGCATTTTAATATTACAATGGTCCTGGGAGAAAAACCACCTTCTTCTGATACATGCACATTTTTGTTGAGTTTTTAACATAAACCAGGGCCATTGTAAAAAAAACAAAAAAGGAAGCGATAAGATGCTTTAGCTTAGGGTGCATGAAACATCAACCAGGCAGGGATGAAGATTGAGAAAAATAAAAAAAAAACCACTTAGACACGTAGAGTCAGACTCAAAGAATAACTGGCTACTGTTAGTTAATTTATATAAGCATTCGTTATTCCTGGCCAATACTTAAGTGAAACTATTGTTTTCTCATACAGGTATTCTGAGCAATTATTTTAAGATGTAAAGAAGATTGTTTAATAAATATGTTTGCATTGGTAAACTTAAATGATTGTGTATTTTTACAGTACCTCCAAATAACTCCTGGAAAATCTTCGGCATTTCTAACGCCACTGAACTCAATTGAAAATCATCCAGGTTGTAGCTGTGGGTAAATAGAACCGGGTTTAGCCAGTTTAAGGCAACAGAGAAGTGAGCAAAATACTTACTATTTTAAAAAAATTAAACCAACTGTGAAAAAAATATTTCCAAAAAAGTATTTATATTATTTATTAATAGTAATAGTATTTATAAATAAAAAATAGAAAATGTGACAAAGGTGCAATAATAGTTTTCCTTAGTGTAGCGCAGGGGTCGGGAACCTTTTTTAGCAGAGAGAGCCAAAAAAGTCACATATTTTAAAATGTATTTCCATGAGAGCCATACAATCTTTTCTTTTGCTGTGAATACAACTAACATAAAACAGTTTATTAGACACTACGTCAGAAAAATCTAGTTTTTCTCACTACAGGTGAACAGGTAATCCGTTAATGGCGACAGAAAAAAAAACAGGATGGAGTGGGAAATTTTCAAAATAAAACAAGAAAACTAAAATAAACCACAGAAAAACAAACAGATTTACAATAAAATAATATGACATAGTAACTGTAACGCCTAATTAAAAAAGTGGCAATGTATCACTAGATATGGCATGATATGTTTTTAAAGAAATCAAGGTTTAAAAATAACAATAAAGGTTTGTTATAAGGTTTAACCATACCTTAAACACTCTCTAAGATTGAATAAGATTTAACTAAACTAAACCAGATATAATTAGCCTGACCAGGAAACAACAGATTAGATTAGATAAATCTTGATTGAGCTACAGTACATTGCTTGAAAAAGCTAGGAATGGCTATATACAACTTACATCTATACATCTGATAGCAATACCTGGAGTATGTGCCAACACCAATCTGATACCTTTATTTCTTTATTAATAAATTGATCATAATATGGTATTATTAAAAACATTACCTTATTGCCAATGTACCAACATTCAAATTGTAGAGATGAATATGGAAATCAATGATTCGCTGTGGCAACCCCTGAAAAAAGGGACAAAGCTGTAAGAGAAAGAAAAAAGTACTTAATAGATACATAGATAGATAGCACTTTATTAATCCCTCAGGGTTCCCTTTGGGAAATTTAGGAAATATAGGACTGCACTTACTATTCTGTTCAAATAACGTCTCACATTTGTCTGAAATTATCAAGCTAACAAAGATTAACAGCACATTAAATGACACTCATGCTGAGGCTGTGCTGCCTGTGAAGCAGCACCAAATCAGACTCTACAGAGGCTGATTCTTCTAAGCACTTAATTTTCCTGTATCCAATGCTAACTTGTGTGAGCAGGAAAATTGAAGATCAGAAACAACCTTAGTAAAAAGCCACAGCTATTTATCTTCAGTCCACAAATGATCTTCACTCTCAGAGAAACAGTGCATGAAGGTCAGTTTGCTCAAAGGAGATTATCAGTCACTTAATTGGTTCCCAATTAATTTAACAGCCTCTGTCATCTATGACTGGAGCCCAGGGGATGTCCAGAAACGCCAGACTGTGACAGATACAGACTCAGGTGTGACCGGAAACACAACATATGTTGCATCCAAATTAACACGACAATAAAGTATCTATAAATACAACGGGGCATGTTAATGATAACAGAACATTGAACACTTTTTATGACGATTCACTGTCCTTCAAGCATTGCTTATGACTAATAAGTACTCTGAGTTGACCAACTGAGATAGCATCAGATAAGCAGCATCTATGTCCACATGACTAATTTTAGGAGAGAGAAAGAAAGCTCTGGGTCAATCAATCAAAGCTATTTTCATATATAAACAGGCAGCCATGTTTATTGAGGGCAAGCAGCTGTCAAAGGCTATAATTTATTATTTTGTAAGTATAATACATTTCTCAATCCACAACTTCATGTTCAAACACTAACGCCCACAAATTGGTCGACTGGTCAACTTATATCGCCGTGTATTTTACAGTACCTCTGAATAACTCCTGGAAAGTCTTCTGCATTCATAACGCCGCTGGCGCAATTGAAAATCATTCAGGCTGCAGTTGTGGGCAAACAGAACCGGGTTTAGCCAATTTAGGGCAACGGAGAAGTGAGCAAAATACTTAGTAAATTAAACCAATTGTGAAATTGGTTTAAAAAAAAAGTCAGAAATGGTAATTTAACGTAGCGTAGCGTGTGAAACGCTGAAATTCACCGCAGGTGTAATTAGTTAATGGCGACAGGGAAAAAACACGGCAGTTCGAAAACTTTCAAAATAAAACAGGAAAACACAAAAATAAACCACAGAATAACAAACGGTTTACACTAAAATAATCTAACATTATAACTGTAAGACTCTAACTGTAACACATTATGACAGTGAGTCACTAACACGTTTGAGACACTTCAGTCCACTCATCTTTATAGACTACACCTTGTGCAGACTGAGAAAAATGTACACGGGTATTTTCTATACATATTGGCCTCAGCTCCATGTTTTTCAAATTAAGAAAGGATTAGTTGTAAAAGTTCATCCAAAGTTCTGACTCTAACACTAATCCCTGCTCATAAAAAAAAAGTTATCTTTCAGTTCACTCCCCCAGCTTCAGTCTCATCTCCAAGCACACCTATATACAGTAGCCGTACACTGACAGAAGTCTGCTGCTCTGGAATCTTATAAGGTGCTCTCACACGCTCTTTTTTTTATTTCACCCACTTAAAGGGACAAGATTTATCACTACAGCACATAACACTGGTCCAAATTACCAAAGCAAGGACGTTTAAAGGTTTTACGATAATTGAAGACAGCAAATGAAAAACGACATGATTAGTTGTTCAAAACAAGTGTACAGAGAGATTTGCTATAATTTTGGTGTGAGTTTGACAAAGTACAAACTCAAATAGTCATTTATAAATCATAAAACATTTAGAAATAAAAAGTAGGAGATTTAAAAGCTTCAGAACTTTTTTCTAGTAATCCCTGGAATGACAGGACATTTAAGATACAGTATGATATTATTGGGAAACTAATTAAACTTTTCCTACGGCAGGTTTCTTCAGGTAAGAGTATTGTAAAGCTTTCTGTTAATTCCTGAGAGCAGCTACTTTGACTTTGAACAGGGTCAAAGCCACAGTCACGTACAGCAGCACGAGCCTCAAATACATGACAGTTTCTACAGCAAGGTGAGAATTTCAACCTGCTATGAAACTGTTCTTGAACCCTTTCCCAGAAAACCTCAAACGCAGCAGGAAGCAAAATATTAAAGAACAAAAGTGCTGACTTTAATATGACCTCTATGTCATCAAGTCCCCTGAAAAACAAAGTCGAAGAGCAGATTTAGGTTTAAAATGTTCATGGTGCCTCATATTTTACTAAACAAAATTACTTGTTTTGACTGGACCAGGACTGAATCTGTCAGGACAGAATAACCATTAGAAGAACAACCTGACCTGCTGCACCAAAACACAAGGAGTCCGTGTTGGTTTTAGTGTTCTCAAGATAAGGTTTAAAGTATTTTAAGGTAAAAACAGCAGTAGATATCGCAGACTGAGGCAGGGGGCGCCATTAATTACATGAACTGACTGGATCTGATGGAAACAGATAGTGTATGTGACACAGACACAGCCTTTGACAGAGGCTCCTTTTTAACCCGAGTTTAACCTGCATGACTTTTCAATCTCACTCTACCACCATCCAAAGGGTTTTAGATTGCACCATTTTTTATGCTTCCGTGTTTGGTATTTAACTTTAAAGAGATGAGCTTCTTTTCAACCGCAGATATACGAGTCAATAATAAACCAAATAAAAAGGTAATTTTAGAGAAAAGCGACAGAGATTAATCTCCCCAAGAACAGATATTGAATGTGTCAGAGCAGACTCATGCTCCTGTAACTTTCCAAACTAATTATAGCTGCTTTTGTAGGTTAGTGCTGATAAATGAATATTTATTGAAGGTGACACTCTGTAAGAATAAATTAATAATCGTAGACCAGACCCCAGTCTTTCAGGACCACAGCTTTTCATAATGTCCCGTGACGTGTTATATAAGTAATGACGTGCAGAATGAGGTCTAATGGATTTGTGCTCGTCACAATTAGAAGTTCATTAATGGAGGTGAGAAAGTATATTAAAATGTTCTGTATGTTGTAATTACCCGGATAAGAAATTATTATGTGATCTATAAGCTGCCAAAGGTCAGTAAAAGTGCAGGATAGTAATGTGTATTTGGTTCAGAAATATACACTGTACGACATACACACTCTGTGTTTTACAGTAAGTATTATATTCATTTTCTTGCACTTCACTGCTCTTTACAAAATGTATATTAACCTCTGACCTCTCAACCTGATAATGATGGACTGTGCTTTTCTTTTCTATTTTTCTTTAAAGTCAAATTCAAATGGAACATATATTCACTGACTCGTTTGATTTTGCTGGTAACACTCACATTTAATCTAAAAACATTAAAATCAATAAGTAAAAGACGTTTTAGGACCAGATCTAAGATAAATGTTATTTTACCTCAAACCTATTTCATCTTTTTGTTACTGTATTAACTGTTGTCTTACACAAAGGTCTAAAGGAGGTAGGCAGAGCTATTAGGCAAAGGTAGAAGGGACAGAAGAAGATTGATGAATGAGATAAAAGAGGACATGAAGATGGCTGGTGTCAAACAGTTCAGCGGCCGAACAGTCAGTAACTGCAGCTTATTTGTTTTTGTCTGAACCACTTAGACTAAAAACACAGGCGCCAAAAATAATGTGCACGGAGAACTCTACATCTCAATTCTGCCATAAAATCACCTGCTGGCAGTTTTCCTTTGGCAGTTTGTGTACTTTGGTCTTTGAGGTCTTTCGTTTTTCTACCCAAGGTAAGCAGCCAATGGCAGATCAGATCAACCCAAGGTAAGCAGCCAATGGCAGATCCCAGAACATGATACACATCAGTGGATAGTTCATGCTCCACCATCTTAGCGTCATGATGGATGAGACTCTAGAAGCGTGGAAGGCGAGGAAAGCTTCACTGAGTCAACAACCATGTTGAGTTTTAATGGAATATAAGTTGACCCCCAGAGTCCACCCCTGCTCTTCCTCACACATAAGGTTAAACCTCTCTGTAGTCATTTTAATTATGGATATTTGCTATAAATCCCCATATGTTTATCAAATACATGTAAGAGTTATATTTGATGAAAAAAAAACACAACTCTGTCCTGTCTTTGGTCCGTGTGGCAGACGGAGAGAAGCTGAAGCCATCGTTTGTTCTGTATTATTACTGTACAACATCACAAAGAGGCCATATATATATATATATATATATGCCCTGGTCCTTCTCCTGAAATCTAAACTTTTTCTGCAGTTATCTTTGACTTGACAGACAGACTATTACAAAAATAATGAGAACGTTTAGATTTACTGTAGAGTCCACATGACATGGCTTCAGTGTCAATATGAGTTTAGTTTCTGCAACACTTTCTTGTGTGTACATTTAACACTGTGTTTGCTGCAAATGTAAATGGTTTTACTTCAGTTTTTGTTTTACATTTTCAGGCCACATAATGGTGACATCATGGTGACATCATCAGCGAGTTCTATCTAAAATCAATTCCTTTGGCTTTTAGGAGGTCTGGGCACTTGTAGTTACATATTTCACAAAAATAGATATAGACTCATGACCTGAGTTTGAACCTATACAAAGTGACATTTGGTTCATGTCGTCAAAAACTTTTTAAAATAACAGGTGTAGACCAGGACAGAAAAAGGACAGGATATTCACAAAATTCTAAATTAACTGTCTGTCCAAAAGCTGAGACAGAGCAGAGTTGGAGAAGAGACAGCAGTGAGGGTTTAACAACAGTCACCGTGTCTGTTCACATCCCTCAGGACAGGAACATGACCAGAAAAAAGAAAAATATATATATGTATCTCAAAAACAAGTAGACATAATCCGGAACAACAGCTCCGGCAGGGTTTATGTAAAGTTCAGCATGTGGCTGTGGCAACTCCAGGCTCTGAGTTGGACCCAAACCAGTAAGAGCATCTTCTAACTTTCTAAACTGCTCTGTGATTGGTCGACACCTCCTCAGACTCAACAGTTTTAATTGATAGATTGTTATCAGAGCTTGAAGGAGCTGCAGAGAATTATGATACAGTAAAGCTGTTCATTAGTATCACAAAGAAATAGAAAGAAAAAAGTCATTTTCAGTGATGCCCCCTACTGGCAGGCACCTAGTGATCTACTCTAGAGTCTACTCTAAACCCTTTGTAGTGTGCTTGGATACAAATGTTTGACAAGCTTTTCCATGAAGGTGTGTAATAAAACATGTTTCCTAGACTGTTTAAAAGGTGTAAAAATAAAACGTTTAAAATTGTTCAAATTTAGCGTTTAAATTCATATCAGTAAGACCTACATCCTAATGGATGTAGGTTCAACTGGGCCACCTATTGTTAAGAGACAAATACACTGTCTTTAAAAAAAAACAGCTCATATTAGTTTCAAGTTCGCTCAAAAAATCTTTTCTGGAGATTATCTGTTACTGGAAAAAAGAAAAATAATGAATAATAAATAGCTATTCAAAACAGGTCCAGAGAATGTGTCATTGGGCCAAACTATTTTATAACCAATTTTTGACTTTTTTTAAAATCAATTGTTTAGCTATTTCAGGGTCACTCTGACCCATTGTTGGTGGCTAACTTTTAGTAGTTAGTATAAAGTAGCTGTTAGTAGTTTTCCTGGAATGGTTCTGCTTTATAAAACATATTGTTTAAAAGATGACGTTACTTGAGTAATATTTAAAACATTGAAAACATATTTGAACCAATCCTTTTTTTAATGCTTAGACAATTATTACCATCTCACCCCCAGGAGGGGGAGAATCAATGGCCCATACATCACCAGAAATATTTCACCCACTGTGTCAGAGAGGATGTTGTTAATCGCTTCTCAAAAGGGGGAATTTAATGAGCTATTTGTGACAAGCACTTAATGACAAATAAACATTCGCCAAGGGGAAGAGGGAGGATAGGAGGGATAGGAGGGAGGATGGGAGGGAGAGTGGGGAGAGGAGAGACGAACATTAATATGATCTGGTTTTGCGAACCAAAACAGTCCTTGTAGTTTTCACTGCAGTAAAGAGGAGATGCTGTTTCTGTTGCTGAGTTAACTGGAGAGCCAGCATTGTTTCTCTACGACTCCCTCAGGACTAAAGAGACACAAACATTCATGCTGCTCTTCTTTAGTCTGCGGGGG